AGTCAATTATAGTTTAAAGCCATGATAAGATGAGCCAGTCATTTTCCAAATATCTTTCCAGTTCTCGTGAGCTTCACTCCATCCCTTGCCAGTAGCCTTTCGTCTAGGTAATGCAGACCATAGTCTAGGAAACCAAAGTTCTCCTGATAACACCAGTTCTTAAGCCAGTGGTTTGTTTCTAAAATCTTTTGCTCCCTCATTGGATGTTGGCCTTTTGTTGGAAGTATAGATGAAAATACTACTTCTGCTCTAATTCTTTAACTTTCTTCCTTAGCTGTTCGTAATCTCGTTGTTTTTAGATTCATTGTTGTGTTATTGGCCTCCACATGTAGAAGAAAGAGGTAGTAATCTATGGGGTTGATTATTTTAGTAAGGTTCTTAGTTACATCTAAAAGTGACATGTTTCCATCAGTCTTCCTCTTTAGCTTCATATAGAGGGTCATTTTTTTCAAAGTTATTTGCTCCTTATTGTGTTCAATTTCGATATATTGGTTTTCTTCTTTTTGTTCGTATATGGCAGGGGTGTCAAACTGCCGGCCTGCAGGCCGGATGTCGAAACCGCACCCACCCAATTGCTGGCAATGGCAAAAAATGTTGCAACATGTCGCGACACGTCATATGACATTGCGATTTTGACACCCCTGATATATATGGTCATTTTTAGAAGCTATGTGCTCCCTTATTATGTTTAATTTTGGTGTAATCTTTTTGTTTAGGTTCTCACTTTGAGTTTCAGAATGGCTAGAGTTGCTTCTAGATCCTTTACTTTTTCTTCTAGTGATTCATATAATTTACATTTTATACATATATAGTTTTTGTCTTCTGTGGGCATAATCTCAAACATATGATCTATTTTGCAAGTCTCTATAATGTTAGTCTCTATGTCCATGATTTTTTATTAAAAATTTCTAAAAAATGTATTTTCCCTATAGTGAAGTGTCAGTTTATAATAGTTTACAAAAGCTCTTGACCCTTTGTTCTCTGTCTTCAAAAATTCATCACTACCTTCCCTATTCTAAGTGTCTCTTTTTCCGTGATTTTTTATTTTTTTCCTCTTAGATCAGGCATGTCAAACTCACGATGTCACGTGACGTCGCACGACGTATTGGGACTTTTTGCCCATTGCCGACAGTGAGGTGGGTGCGGTTTTGGTGTGACGCATCCTGCCCGTGGGCCGGCAGTTTGACATGCCTGTCTTAGATCATTAAGAATTTTAAAATTTCTAAAGAATTAAAATAAGTAAACTGTTTTTCAAATGTTTAGTTGAAAAAAGAAATTGAAAAACTGAAAAAAATTTAAGAGAATTTTATAAAAAAAATGAAAAGAATTTTAAAATTGAAAAATATTTTAAAAATTGAAAATGTGATTTAAAATTGAAAAGAAATTTAAAAGTTAAATTTAAAAAAAAACTTCAGAAATTTTTAAAATTTAAGAATTTACAAAAGTTGGCCCTTTATGAAGTGTTATGTACTTCTTTATATTGGAAATCTCAGGCTTTTTTCTAAGAGATGCTTTGTTTTTAACCCTCTACACCCTCTTTCCTCTCTGTCCACAAGTGTTATGTATTTATCCTTTTCCTCCCTGCCTTCTTGCCCTTCAGTTGCTTGGCCACTGGTGGGGTTTTCAGGTACGATGTGCTGATCTGGGTGCTTAGCCGCTACTCAGCTGCTTTGCTGCGCTGCCCTTAGCTGCTGCTGGTTTGCCATGCTGCTCTCAGCCACTGCTGCTGGCATTCCAGCCTGCTGTCATACTTAGCTCTGCACCACCAATGTTCATTTGGTCTGCCATGCTGGTCTTAGCCACTGCTGATCTGTTGCACTGCTCTCAGTTGTTGCTCTGGGCACTCCACTTCTCTGCCATTTAGCTCTGCTCAGCTGTGCTGTCTCTCAGTTAAAGCACCAGGCCACCTCGTTAAAGCTTTTTTTCCAACATTTTAAAAATTCTAGAAGTTTATTTTCATAATTCCCAAAAATTATTTTTTTAAAAAAGAAAATTTAAACTGAAATTTCTATTCCTAGATGTTCGTCTTCTAGAATAATGAGTAACAGAATTGAAGGGACAGTAACAGAATTATACTGTTTTAGAGAAATAGTTGTCCAATCTCCTCTCAAAAACCTCCAGTGGTAGGGAATCCATGCCGTTCCACTGGTTAATTGTTTACATTGTCAGGAGTTCTGGGAGTTCTGAGTTCTCCTTTCGGTCCCTTTTGGGGCTAATATTGATGTTGCCCTCTTAATATAGTTTATAATCCACAGATGTATTTTAAAAAATGACAGATGAATAAAATTTGAAAAGGAAAACAAAATCCCAACTGAAATAAAAAAGGAATAGTATCTCAGCTGAGAATAAAAAATGAAATGTCAGCTTATTGTTAGTGTATAAAAGGATATCTTATCTAATCTATATCTATGTATCTATATATACCTATATGCCTTTATATCTCTATCTCTATCTATCTCTTTCTATACGGAATGGAATGGAATGGAATGGAATGGAATGGAATGGAATGGAATGGAATAGAATAGAATAGAATAGAATAGAATAGAATAGAATAGAATAGAATAGAACAGAACAGAACCTTGGAGGTCTTCTAGTCCAGCCCACTGCTCAAGCAGGAGAACCTATATCATCTCAGACAGGTGAATGTCAATTCTCTTCTTAAAACTATCCAGTGATGAAGTGCCCACAATTTCTGGGGGTAAGCTGTTCCACTGGTTGATTGTCCTCACTGTCAGGAAATTTCTTCTTAGTTCCAGGTTGCTTCTCTCTTTGATCAGTTTCTCGTCCTTCCCTCTGGTGCTTTGGTGAACTTGGCCCCCTCTGCCTTGTGGCAGCCCCTCAAATACTGGAACACTACTATCATGTCTCCCCTATTTTTCTTTAGACTAGCCAAACTTAAGTCCCGTAGCCCGTTCTTCATATGTTTTAGTCTCCAGGCCTTTAATCATCTCAGTTGCGGTTCTCTGAATTTTTTCCAAACTCTCAATATCTTTTTTGTGATAAGGTGACCAAAACTGGCTGCAGTATTCCAGGTGTGGTCTTACTAGGGTTTTATAAAGCGGTAATACTTTGTGTGATCTTAATTCTATGCCTCTGTTTATGCAACCCAGGATTGTATTAGCTTTTTTGGTTGCTGCTGCACACTGCTGGCTCATAGTCAAGTGATCGTCCATTAGGACTCCAAGGTCCCTCTCACAGTTACTATTTTTAAGCCAGGTCTCGCCCAATCTGTATTTGTATCTTTGGTTTTTCCTGCCTAAATGTAAGACTTTGCTTTTCTCCATATTGAAACTCATTTTATTGGACAGGACCCATTGTTCAAGTTTATCAAGATCTTTTTGGATCCTGAGTTTGACTTCTTGGGTGTTGGCTACTCTTAGCAGTTTGGTGTCATCTGCAAATTTGATGAGTTCCCCTTCAATTCCCTCATCTAAGTCATTTACGAAGATATTGAAGAGTACTGGGCCTAAAACGGAACTGTGTGGTATCCCACTGCTTACTTCTTTCCATGTGGATGTAGTGCCATTGAGGACTACTCGTTGAGTATAGTTTGTTAGCCAGCTACAGATCTATCTGGTGGTGATGTTGTTTATTCCACCTTTTCCTAGCTTACTAAGGAGTAGGTTGTGGTCTACCTTGTCAAATGCCTTACTGAAATCTAAGTATACTATGTCCACTGCATTTCGCTGGTCTACTAGTTTAGTCACTTTATCAAAGAATAATATGAGATTGGTTTGGCATGATCTGTTTATATATATACATATATTGTAAGGATTATATAAAGATAAACCACAAAAATCCATAAAGATATTTAAAACCTTTAAAAATATTGTGAAAATACTGCAGTCTCTGATCATTTGTAATCCACAAAAGAGGGTAGAGTGATAATTGCAGCCCAGGGCAATAAAATTTATTATCAGGGCAATAAAGTTTACAGTCTAGGCAGAAAAGGTTTAAAATCTTCTAGTGATAGTTGTAACAACTATTTAATTGATTGCTCAGTTTTCTCACGAACATTCAATATATACAAAACTTTATATTCATTAATGATTTAGTTATTATAAATCAGGGAAAAAAGAAAGAAAAAACAGATCTGCATCTAATTCATTAGAGGGCGGAAGACCACTTGTGCAAATAAATCTGTTTCTAATTCATTTTTTAATTATGTCTGTGTAAGTAGTAAGTAAGAAAAACAGTAGTTTATATAGAGAAAACAATCTCCATGCTAAGATGTTGTGCTGAACATTCAGCAAAAACAAAGGAAGCTGTAGACAGAACTCAGCAGAATAAGCTTTGCATCCAAATAAATGTTTTCATTCCAAGTCTTCTTCTTCTCTCCAAGTCGTCTTTTCTTTCTGTGGGTGCAATTCTGTGAATGCTTAGGGTTTTTTTTTTTTTTAAGCTTTTAAATAGATTATTCAGGAGAGCCCTGCTTCTGCATGCCTGCTGCTTCAATAGCACATTCTCTGCCTGGTCCCTACTGCCTCCCTTGCAGCCCCGCTAAGCAGGGACTAGGTGGCGGTGTAGTGACAGGGTAAGTTGATAAACGATTACCCCCCCCCTTTCTTCCTTATCTTCTTCTCCTCCGTTTGTTTCCCCTCCCCCCCGTCTCCGCTCCTCTCACGTTGCTTCTCTCCCTTTTTCGCTCCTCACTCTCTTCTTTACACACACTCATCACGCGTCTCCTCTCATTTTATAAACATCTCAGTATGTTCAATTAAACTGTCACCCACTAGCAATTCAAATGCAAGACTTATGTAGCTGGCTGCCCGTCCAATCACAGAATTGCTGTCCAAAGTCTGTTTCCACTCTTCCTCTGTTCTTTTATCGGAGAACGGAAGGCTTTACTCTGGGAGGCGACGCTGTACACCGGGACTCTCTCTGAGCCAAGTTTACCTAACAGGATGGTTGTTGTAAAGAAAAATAAGAGGACTCCTAAGCCCGACGCCTTCAACTCAGGATAAAAAGGTAGAATCGAAATCTAGTAAATAAATACTTACTATTTATAACATATACTCGCCGATAAGGAAGCGCTGCAGGTCTCACTTTACGTATTTTGCGCTCGGATTCACCGAAGCAGGAAAAAAAGCAGCCCCGCCTCCCAGCTTCATCATCCGATTGCCCAAGATGGGAACTTCCTTGCTGTCGCTTCCCCTTAATCCGGATTTCGTGCACTCTCTCTCGAAACAAGAGTCTGCGCATGCCTTCACGCTTTTTCCCAGCAGGCTCGGCCGATTGGAAGGGATGTCGGGGACGTAATTGCTTGGTACCATTAACTGAAACGCTAAGGAAAGACACTTCACTCTTCTCTTTTTCTACCCCGGTTATTGGCCACAGTGATCCTGCAACGAGTTTTCTGTGTCCTGCAATTTAATCGGCCGCTCTGCTCTAATAGTCTAGTTTGCTAGTGCTATCATCCTGTTATTTGATTGTGGTAGGGTCCTTTCTGCCTGACTCCACCTTCTTATTCTCAGTTCGGTGGCTGGCTAGCTCACACGCGAAGAAGCGTCATTGCCGTGTATTTACGTGATGCAGCAACAGAGGCCGCGGGATTGAGTTCCCGAGTACGGAGTCCAATTCGGGTAAGAAGCTGGCAGCTGCACGGATCGGTCTTGAGAGTTATAGGAAACCTTCCTTTGATGCCAGTCGCTGTCGTCTCAGTTCACGCGCTAAGATTAGAGATAGTCTCCACAAGGATAGGCTGATGACTTGCTTGCTTTAATAAGCGCTTGGTGCGCGATTCTGCAAATAAATAGAAATAGATAAGGGATTTCTATCTTAAGGGCACTTTCCCAAAAGTGGGAGAGAAGGAGAGCACAGATTAATGTAACAGATGGTTGATTTTTCAAGTTAACCCTGTGTGGAGCATATCAGCACAGGAAAGATTGCATAGCGGAGTCATTAATATATTTTTCTTTTTCCCCCTCGCAGAGCGGCGAAATTGTAAAGGAAGGGGTTACAAAGGCACACAGTGGGGAAATACGCCCGATTGTTCGCTGAGTGCAGCTGCAGGCGCTAGTGCATACCGTATCTTTCGATGTGTATTCCACATTGTATGCTGGTTTACTCTCTTGTAGATTAAAGTGCCCTCTGGTGCTTTGGAAAATAAGTTGATCCCCTTCTCTTTTTGGCAACCTCTCAAATACTGCTGTCATGTTCCTTTTCTCTAGACCAGTGGTTCTCAACCTTTCTAATGCCGCGACCCCATAATACAGTTCCCCATGTTGTGGTGACCCCCAACCACTTATACATCACCAGGTGCCAGGGGTGTGGCCAAAGAAAAGAGGGGGAGAATGGCGGACAGCCTTGTTTGGTGACCCCCGTGAAATGGTCGTTCGACCTCAAATGGGGTCCCGAACCACTGCTCTAGACTAGCCAAACCCGAATCCTGTAACCAATCTTCATATATTTTAGTCTCCAGACCTTTAATCATCTTATTTGCTCTTCTTTATACTTTTTCCAAAATCTCAACATATTTTTGTAATGTGACCAAAACTGAATGCAGTATTCCAGGTGTGGCCTTACTAAGGCTTTATAAAGCAGTACTAATACTTCATGTGATACTGATTCAGTGCCTTTTGTTTATATAACCAAGGATTGTATTAGCTTTTTTTGGCTGCTGCTACACACTGCTGGCTCATGTTTAATTGTCCACTAGGACTCCAAGGTCCCTCTCACAGTTACTGTTTTTGAGCCAGGTTTCACCTAATCTATACTTGTACCTTTGATTTTTCCAGCCCAGATATAAAACCTTGCTTTTCTCCACATCCAAAAATATTTTGTTGGATATCATTTTGTTGAAATCTGTCAAGATCTTTTTGGATCATGGGCTTGTCTTCAGGGATGTTGGCTATTCCTGCCAGCTTAGTGTCATCTGCAAATTTGATGAGTTCCCCTTCTATTCCCTCAGCTAAGTCATTTATGAAGATATTGAAAAGTACTGGGCCTAAAACAGAACCTTATGGTGTTGTAGAAATGAGAGACTTGAGTCAGCTCTTTTGAGGAAAGGGAAGTTTATTGCACAGGTTCAGAGATCTATTCACAGCTTAAAGAGTCTGAACGTCAGACTGGGGCTTAGATGATCATATTTATAACCCCCAATACGTAGGTATTCCTGATTAAGACATATTCCATACATGGTTACATTCTATAGTTCCTTATTCTAACATAGGAAAGTTACTAGACATGGTTATAATCTATAGTTCTTCTTTTAAACATAGGAATGCTTTTAGCAGTTAGCAATATTTCAAGTGTTAAGCAGTTTTCAATATATCATGTGATAGACAGTTTGCATTGTATCATGTGCAGAGCCGAGAACAGGATATCTGGCAATTCTAATTTTAAGTGTTGTCTGGTAGGCAGGAAAACCTCCCTTTCACCCACAATCTTTGTTAGACAATCAGTATTTTTCCAGCTTCCCACTTTAGTGGTACCCTACTGCTTACTTCCCTCCACGTAGATATAGTAACATTAAGGACTACTCGTTGAGTATGATTTGTCAGCCAATTACAGGATTTGGGTTTGGCTAGTCTAGAGAAAAGGACTAGGGCAGGGGTACGCAATCTTAGCTCTTTTATGACTCGTGGACTTCAACTCCACGTAGATATAGTAACATTAAGGACTACTCGTTGAGTATGATTTGTCAGCCAATTACAGGATTTGGGTTTGGCTAGTCTAGAGAAAAGGACTAGGGCAGGGGTACGCAATCTTAGCTCTTTTATGACTCGTGGACTTCAACTCCCATTGGCTGACAAATCATACATCACCCATTGGGTGATGATGTTATCGAACCCACATTTTTCTAGCTTACCACGAAGTAGGTTGTAGTCTAATTTGTCAAATGTCTTGCTGAAGTTTAAATATATGATTTATTTTTAACAAACCCATCCTGGCTTTTAGTTATAACATTATTTGTTTGTAGATGTTCTCAAATCTGTTTTTTGGTTATTTTTTCCAGTATCTTCCCAGGTATTGATATTAGGCTGATTGGTCTGTAGTTTCCTGGGTCTGTTTTTTTTTATTAGTTTTTATTGATTTTTTAATACAATTCAAAAGTGCTTATTCAACAAACATGTCTGAGTTTATCATTCACTAATATAAATTAAATTCTAATCCCTAATTTGTTTCTCCAACCATTGATAAAATAGGTCCCAAGTTTGAAAATATTGTTTCTTCTTTTTCTTTCAAACCTCAAAGTAAGTCTGTCCATTTCCGCACAGTCTAGTATTTTTTTAATTATTTCTTCCTCTGGTGGTATTTCTTCATTTTTCCAGTATTATGCGAATGTAATTCTTGCCGCTGTTATCATGTGCAAAAGCAAATATACACTTTGTTTATCACGTTTTTCTGGCATTATGCCTAATAAAATCTATATGTTTCCCCAACATCTTTTCTAGCCAAGTATGTATTTTTGTCCAATATCCCTTTGCTTTAACACATGTCCACCACATATGATAAAAAGTACCTGGCTTATGATTATATTTCCAACATTTATTTGACATATTTTTAAACATTTTTGCTAATCTTGCTGGTGGCAGATGCCATCTATAAAACATTTTATATAGGTTTTCTTTATAAGAGGTTAACATTGTCAGTTTCCCACAGGCATTGCCATTTTTCTAAGCCTATATTGCAGTAATGGCGAAACTTTTAGAGTCTGAGTGCCCAAACTGCAACCTAAAACCCACTTATTTATTGCCAGGTGCCAAGTGGACATGGCCCACTGGGTGGGCATGGCTGCAGTGGTCATGGCAGATTGGGTGGGAGTGGCCAAGGTGGGCATGATCACCTTGATGTTGTTCGTGGGGAGGGACGTCTGTGGGTGCCGAGCAGGGTTGGGGGAGATCCAGGGGGTCTCTGGCAGGTGGGGCGATGGGCAGGAGGCTTGTCCTGCGGGGTGAGCCAAGGCAAGGCAAGGCAGGACAGGGGTGCCATTGTCACAGGGAAAGGTGAGGCAGGGGCCGGGGCGGCTGCTGCCTGACACCATCGGCCCCTGCACACAGACGCCAGTGAGCGCATGGGTGCTGGGATGCATCCAGTCATGTGGGACCTCGGTGAGTTAGTGGGCAGCTGGTTGAAGAGGGATGGTTGCCATCTCCGGGACATGGCGCGCGTGCCCACAGAGAGGGCTCTGAGTGCCGCCTCTGGCATGCGTGCCATAGATTCGCCACCACAGCTATATTGTATCCAAAGTTCTTTGCCCATATTATTGTTTCTTTTACTTGTTCATCTTCCATTTTCAAATGTAATAAGAAGTTATACATTTTCTTAATTAATTTCTCATCAGAAGTTAATAATATCTTATCAAACAAAATCTGCTCTTTATAAAATCCATACAGTTTAACATCTTTATCATATCTCACTTGCATTTGTAAATGTGTCCACCATGATAGATCAATACTCTGATTTTCCATCTCTTGTCAAAGATTTTAAGTTCCCTTCAGAATTCAGAATATCTTTATATGTCTATATTTTTTCAAGACTGACTAAATTTGGATATACAAATGCTTCCATTATTGAAAGCCATCTTGCAATTTTCAAATATATTTTACATTTTATTTTTTCCCATGTTAATAATAATGCATTTCTAATGTAGTGGTTTTGAAAATATTTATGAATTTTATTTTTCCCACACCATAAGAAAAAATGCCAAACAAGTTGTAAATCATATAAAATGTTCTACAGATGGCATTTAGCATCGGCGAGATTGGCTAAAATATACAAAAATATGAATCCGGAATGTTGGAAATGTAAAAACAAAGAAGGAACATTTTATCATATGTGGTGGCAATGCCCCAAAGCAAAGACCTATTGGGAGCAGATTAGGAGATGGTTACAGGAAATAACAAAACAACAAATTGAACTCAAACCCGAAATATTTTTATTAGGCATAATTAACCCAAAAATTGAGAAACGACTCCAATACATCATTATACATATTATAACTGCAGCAGGCATTGCATATGCACAATATTGGAAAAGGGAGAATATACCAAATGCGATGATTATATGTAAGATATTAGATTGTGCTGAGATGAACAAACTTACCTTAGAACTAAAAGACAAAGAAGCTACAGAATTCTACGAGATATGGGACATGTACTATAACTGGTTAGAATTGAGGAATAAAAAAGTATGAGAAGTAATGT